GTTCACGGAACGTCCTCTATTAGGCGAGGAACGGGTTCCGAATTGGCCTGTAATTATTCTACTGCGGATATTCTGCGTTTATTATAATTAGAACAGCGTTGTGCTTCTGTTGCGTGCGTCGGTTGGCCCAGTGGTTGGTAACGTGTAACAAAGTAGAGGAGAGTGGCAAGGAAGAGATAATCGTTCGGAAAGATTGTAGCGCAGGACTTTGTAATCTGCTGGCGAATAAATAAAATAGGGAGAGCGTTGAGCGATTTATCGGCGATGCGTTTCTTGAAATGCTCGCGATATTGGAACGTGGAAGTTAATAATCGTAAATAGAGAAAACAGAAGTCACGCGGAAGTTTCCTCTTTTCTTTAACAATATTCCAATAAGTTCAGTTTAAATTAAAAAAATATTAATTTAACGTCGAATCCTTTCAATCTTTTCACTGTTTGAAATTACAAAATTATATTAACATATTACAAAATTATGAAACCCAGCTCAATGATAAAACAATTTATAAACAGAACATTGTCGTAGGCAAGAAATTCGACGTGTAAAGAATTAAAAAAGAACTGTCTAAACATGCACACGATGACAATAAATGCTTATTCATTGTACAGTTGGTCACGAAATATTACATTCGCTGTTTCATAAGGACTCGAGTGGCCACAATGGAACAAAAAGTATTTTTTGACCGTGTAAATTGATGTCGCGTGGAGTAAAAAGTCGTGCATACAAAGTATCGTGCAAATCGAGGAACCGGGCGCACAATGAAACGAATATGCAAGGGCGAGGTTCGGCGAGTAAACGCTATTACGAAACCTAACCCATATGACCGGAGTAAAATACACGAAACGATAAAAACTCTGTTGAAGTTCCACGCAAACTTTCTATTTTTTACATTACTAAATGAGATTTTTATTTCATTAGTTCGGTCGTAAAAATGAAATTATTCTTGCCATTTTCACGCAACCTCGAAATCTGTTCCTTTTTTCTTGCAGAAGAATGCACAGTTTATAAACTGTATATATATATATATATATAAATATATATAAATGAATTCCTATGTGTAGCAAACGATTGAATATTAGCAATTAATTCTGTCATTCAATGAGAGATTTCAGACATATTAATTCGCACACAAAGATCCACGGTTTAGCACCGAACTTGTTTAGCATTAAATCACGCTTTCGAGAACAGTAATCAATTATAACTTGATTCTAAATCGCTAACAATTTTAAATCGTGATGTAAATTTTCGTCTTGATTTATACATCGATAAAGTTCGAATTAATTTTTATCACGAGCTGTACATAGATCGGTAAAACTGGAATTAACTTTCATCTTGATTTATACATCGATAAAATTGGAATTCAATTTTCATTTTGATTTACACATCGATAAAATCGGAATTAACTTTCATCTCGATTATTACATATATTGATGAAAATATTACGAGAAAGTGTAAGAAGAGAGAAAAATTCAAGACGACAGACAACAGAGATGTGTATTGGGTTGGCAACTAAGTAATTGCCGATTTCAGTTATAGATGTCTCTCACTCCCATTTTTATGATATCCGTAAATGTTATATTATAAAATTATTATTATTATTATTATGTTATTTTTAATTATC